TCTCACGTATCAAAATGTAAAATTAGTTCTAATAAAAAAAACAAACAAGAATCTGCTTAACATAATTTGTTTCCGGTAATTAATTAAAATCTTTAGTTTTCCTCATTAAATGCGTCTACGGCGCACTTTAGCAGCAAGAGGATTAGCCATCTCACACGAAAGTCTTAATTTCTCAGACAAGTCAACGCCGTTATCATCGGACGGTCCCCATTCAAACTCATGTAACAGCGTCGCGGTCCAAAACGTAACGGTCGTTAAACCCAGATTCTTCCCGGGGCAGATCCGACGACCCGACCCAAACGGAGCCAATCTCAAATCCGACCCGAGAACCGAAAACTCAACCTCACCTTCTTTTGCCACGAACCTCTCCGGTTTAAACTCCAAAGAATCAACCCACACGTGTGGATCATGAGCTATGGCCCACATGTTCACCATTGCTGTGGTCCCCACAGGAACGAGACAACCATCTACGATCGTGTCTGTTATGGCTAATCGGGCCCATGATAAAAGTGGGCCTGGAGGATGAAGCCTTAATACTTCTTTAATCACAGCCGTTAGATATTTAAGTGAAGCCACGTCAGATTCATCTACGGCTCTTGATTTTCCGACTACTTCATCAAGCTCTTTCTGGACCGTTGATTGGATATCTCGGTGCAGGACCATCCTAGCGAGAATCCACTCGATTAAAACCGCTACTGTGTCTGTTCCTCTAAATATCATTTCCTGTAAATAATAAACCAACAAAATCCGATATTTTATTTTAAATATAAAAATTACGAGTCACATTCCGTATAAATTTTTATGTTTTTTTATTTGAATAATAAAGTAAAAATTTAATTACCCAGAGAACGGCGATGATATCCGGGTCGCATAATTTATCCGAACCATGGAGAGAGAGCAAAACGTCGACGAAATCACGAGGAGAATCACCGGTTTGATTACGATGTTCTGATATAATCCTTGATACAAACCGGTTTACTTTCGGTACAAGCGTAGAACATCTAAACCGGATTTTCTGAGGATCAAATTCCGATAACCAAGGAAGATGATCGGTCCAATTCAACGTACCGAGCAAATCATAACCTTCTTCGACTAATTCACGTAACTCACCATGATCTTGTTCAAGCTCATACTCTTGTCCGAAAACAGAGCACATCATGTTATTAAGCGACGACGTTTTAAGCAACTCACGAACAAAACAGAGTCCTGGACCATGACCACTCTGTTTTTCGATAAACCGAACCATCTGGTTCGAGATCACTCGTCTCTGTGTCTCGGCTCGTCTGATTTGTTTGGGGCTAAAAAGATGATTCGAAGCGATTCTTCGTAGAGTTCGCCAGTAAACACCGTGTGGTGCAAAACCAATCGCTCGGTTAAACATCAACGAGTAAGCCGATTCTTTAACCGGTCGGTCAGAGAAAACCGGACTGTTCAGAATCTCTTTCGCGACTTCGTGATTGCACGTGACGATCACGCGGGTCTCTCCTAAACTGAAAGCCATGAGCCGTTTGGCTCCGAATCTCTCCGCTGCATCAGCGATTCGACGGTGAGCTAGAGTGTTGGACATGAGAGACATGCTTCCAACAAAAGGTAAGCCTCTAGGACCGGGAATAACCGTTCCGGTTTTGCATGTTAACCGGCGAAAGAGAAACTTTCCCCAAGCCGGTCCACCGGGATAAGTCCAGAAGAAGAGAGAGATTACGAGCCAGATAATTGAGACGACGAGGAGAGAGAAAACGAGATTGGTTTGGCTTAGAACACTGCATTTAGACAATAGGGCAAAGATTAAGGAGCTTTCGAGTTTTGTAGCCATGGCGGATTCAAAGGAAAGTAAGTGAAGAGAGAAGGTAGAGAGAGAAACAAAAGGAGAGTGTCTTTTGGTCTGTGTGGGGCTTAAAGATCAACAGATCGGCTTTGGTATTTATATAGATAATCAGAACTCATTTTATTAGAAAATATAGTTACATTTATTTAATACTTTTTTTTTGTCGTACATTTATTTAATACTATATGTATGGTTTAAAGGAATTTTTGTTTTCTTAGTAGTAATATTTTGTGTAGTTGTTTTATTTTATTGTCGCTCTCTATGTTAAAGTATAAGGTTCATTGTTCGACATATATAATTTTTTTTTTGTCATAAGTAAATAAATATACAATTTTTTCGTTTTCTTTAATATTTGGTGGTAAAGCTTTCGGAGAAGTAAGTACAAACTGAATTTTAATCCGAGCTTTCACATATTTATGGTTCAAAATTATATTACTTTCTAGTTGTTTTGAAAATTTGATATATATTTTTTTCATACAACATGCAATATGCGATTTTGAATCTGAACAATGATATAACAATGGCATAACACAAATTGTATGTTATGGTCAATTTGTATATAGTACTTTAACAACGTTACAACGTATTAAATTTATTGTTGAAAGTTTTGAAATGAAATATTTGTAAAAATTGTAGGCTAGTGGTTCTCATTTCGAGAGTAGTTACTATGTGTTTAAGTCAGA